GATTGTCCAACCAACTATTCCTGTCACTGCCAACCATCATGTGAACAGATGTTTCGTAGGGAGGTCCCAATGTACATGCAAGGGATGACAAATCAGATAATTATAATATTACTACCTATACCCTATGTCACCTATAGATTACGACATAATGATTTTGTGTTCCGTAATTCTCTACTTCCTCCGCTACCTCTTTCTCCTTCTACATTTCATTATCCTCTACTAACTCCACTTTCTTCTCATCCATCACCTTCTTCGCCTTCTTCCCCTCTCTACGTTAAGTGTAAGTTATCCCCTTCCTCCACCGCACCATATACCTTCTCCATCTTACATAGCTGCTTGACCTTCTCCCTTTTCTTTACCTCCAATATTATACCTCATCTACTTTCACCCCTTTCACTTTCTCCCACCCTACTGTCTCCCCCTTATTAAGCTTCTCAACTCCTTTACCTCTACTATTTGCTCAATCCTCTCAAACGCCAGCGTTTGTGTTTAGTAATAGTTACAGAATTAATATCTGGGTTCTCTTAAAATAAGTAGCCTAGTTATATGGTTTTGTAGTATTTCCAGAGTAGCATCAAGGTTATGTGTGAGTAAAACAGCGTGTGTGTGGGCAAGTTTAGTGGCCTTTCTGTATATTAGTTAGTGTGTTCGTGGGTTATGTAGGTTCCAACGAATCATAGCACGATTTGCAGAAATAAATAAGAAATAATAAAATATGTAACTATATAGAAAGATTGTCATACGTAGGGTTCAAAGTCTTCTAAAGAATAAGCCAGTTCGTAGTTACAGTCTGCGCGAACTTAGCCACGAATTCTTTCGGGTCAGGTCATTTGTGACAAAATATTTCGTATTTCGACCGTACAGTACACATACGCATCAGGAGTAGATAATAGGGAGGAGTGTGACATCAATAAACAAGGGAAATTCGTCATTTACTAGCCTTATAATACCTACGATTTACTACGCTGTAATATCAACTTGAGCTGCCAATCGGAAGAGTACATTCGCAATATCGTGCGAAATCGTTTCCTCGTAGCACCGCATCCTGGAGATACAGCCTAAAATTACGACACGATTTCTTCTCTTGGCCATCATCGAAGCCCCAATTGCGCGCCTATATTAGAAAGCAAGCAAGCTGCGCGCAGTCGCTGTGTTTGCTTTCGGATGCTGATGACTTGGCGTTGTTCGTCGCGGGAGTTGGAGGTCGACGGAACATCGACGAGGTAATCTGCGGTTGGAGTGCGTGCGTGGAGCATGCCAGCTATGTACAAAAGGTGGCTTGTGTGCTGTGTAGCGGGTCAAAGGTTATCTCGCGAGTGTTGATGCCTAATCTCAGCGAGCCATGCTAAAAGCCTCAGGTAGCAAATAGGCGAGTTAGCGTAGCTGCCTGTTTTGTTTGAACTTAATAGGCGGCTGGTGGATTGATGAGCAAGAATGAGATTCGTGTCGTTGTTTTAGGGCTGTATCTCCGGGTTTGCGACGGTGTCTACGATGGAAACATTGCACGATGAATTGGCGATGTACTGTGTCGTGATCTTGAAGCTTCAAGTTGATGAGGTTACGCGTAGTAAATCGTAGGTATTATAGGTCAGGTAAAATGACGACTTTACCTGTGTTTATGATGTACACTCCTCCCTATTTCTCTCCTGCATAGCATGATTATGTGTCGTCTGTAGTGCTCATGTGTCGTCTGGTTGTGCGTGCGCTGTGCACTAGGCGTCAGGTGGTGCGTACATGTGCCGTAGCGGTTGGTGTGCACAGTAGGTGCGTGATGTGCGTTGGTCGCGTGTGCTGTGACGGCGTTGACGTAAGGTGCAAACGTGCGTCGCGTTGCGTTGTGCACGTAAGGCCGTGCGTGCGTGTGCCCGTAGACGTGCGTGTGCGTAAGCGTGCATGCGTGCGTTGTTGTGCGTGCGTGCGAATGTGTGTGTGCCGCGTGCCGTTGTGTGTAACGATGGCGCGGTGTTACACAATTGGCGAAGGTGTGAACTGAGGCGAAGGTGGTGAAGGACGGGAGAGACGGAAGAGGGAGAGATGAGAGGTATCTTTCAGGAAATCGTGATGCGTTAGACGTTGAGCGTGCGATGGTTGTAGACGTAACAAAGCGACTCTATCGATCGGGTACATGAAGGTCTTTATTTGCAACTCACTCAGATAACAGTAAAGCAGGGCAGGTCACTAGTGGCTGCTCGTGACGGGATCGTGCCTAGTAGAATTCTCTGACGACATTGGGTATGCGACCTATTTTTCTTGGTGCATGTGTCTTCTGGCCTCTTTTTGTTCGGCGACAGGACGGTGCAACAGTCGCAATTATGCATAGGTGATTGGGATCCGTAAAGCTTTCGTACAAATTATTTCCTTGTTGTTACACTTTTGGTTGGTTATGAGCAGCCTTTCGCAACACCGGGTCGGTACGTGTTGCACTGGCCAAGGTTAATTCTAGCCGCCTTTTGTAGCGTATATAGCTACTCCCTAACAGCTGGTGTTTAGCTATCTGAGTAGTCAGGTGCCAAGCTTGATACGATATCGCGTGATTGTCCGTCCGTCCTGGTCCGTCAACAGTCGGCACAAATCTAAAAGCATCACTGTGCCGAATGTGGACGGTCCAGGTCAAGGTCAATGGGCACAGGCAGATTTTAGACATTTTCTGAGACATGGTCTGACGGAGCAGCATTGAAAACTTTTTTGTTTCAGCGGTGACCTCATTTTTTGCCTTTCCGCTGACATGCGAGAGTAGTAGTGTCTGGATAACCTTTTGACCCTCAAGGGAGCGGTTAAACATTGATTGTTGGACTGTTAACAAAGATCTGAACTGCTTTTGCCTTTATTAAGAGCCCATACCTGTGCTGAACGTACAAGATGGAATTTATCAGCCAGATACCAGGACACCAAGATGAGCCTGTCGCACTCAGGGCACTTGTTTTAGTCATCTGACGTAGTTATGCAGCTGTAGAATGTGATCGTGCTATGCGTTGCGTGCGTCCTCAAACGTTGGGCACAATCTTAACCTTCGACGTCACGCGTCACTTTTGGACGTCGGGGGGGGTCGTAAAGCCTCTGGATGAAATTTGGGAGGGTCAATGACTCAAGGGTCAAAGGTCAAGATGTGTAAACGGAGGGGGAATATTTCCCCCTTAACTTAAGGTATAGGAGAAAATACGGAATTGCGGCACAAATCTTAACAGCTCGACCTATGCTCTTAATATTCGGTGTATATAGTGTGATGGGCAGGAAACCCACCCCATCACCAGTGCGAAATTGGAGGTCACAGGTCAAAGAGCAGTAAGGGAAAGGTCAGATATCAGACATTTTCTGAGGACATGGCCTAATGGACAGAGTGAAAAACTTGTTTGTTTCAGCGCTGACCTGATATTTTTATCACTTTATTGAAAGGACCATGAAATGTGCTTTCCACTGATGTGCGAAGAGTAAGTGTCTGATAACATTTTGACCCTCAAGAGGAGGGTTAAACATGGAATCCTGAACTGCCTCAATGACGTCACGGTGTTGTCATATTCATGGCACATCCATAATCTAGAAACCCAATAAGCCTGGATAGCCGAACGCGTACAGCACTGCGTCACGGCTCAAAGGCCGTTGCATCGAATCCTATCTGATTTTTTATTATTTACCTGTTTTCTGTATTTTTCTATCTTTATCCATTTAACTATTTTTTTCCAATTAACGCAAATATTGACATGATTTATTTACAACAATTTAATAACAACAAATAATTTTTACAACAATTAATTTTTTATTTTTTTTAATAGGGTTAGGGTTAGGGTCACAATGCACCATAAAACAGGAGTTTCAGGCACGCGATTTGTATCAACCAATGGGATTTGGGAGGTATGCAGAATGCAGAAGGTTGCTGAAATGATGTGTACGCAACTGCGTATCTGCATATCTGCGCCCAACAAAGGTGTCACTACGCACGACTTAAATGTTACATTTATGACCGTAGCAACAGACCTCAGATGAGCCCAGACGCTCTGCGGCTCTTGTAATTAGCTTACAATGGGGTAGAGTTCCCGGCGCAATATTGCACGCTACACGTTCGTGCGTGTATGTAGACGTACACATGCGTGCGTGTACACGTACGCAGAATACATGTATACCTACTGAACCGAGAGCGCACGCCTCAATCGAGATTTCATCGATTTTTGTCACAAATGACTCGGTGACCTGTGACGTCACACAACCCCTTGGCTAACTACGAACTGGCTTATTAGCCTGGCTTTCAATAGAACTTCACCTGAATCGGCCCACCACGTATTGGCTGCTATTCATATTTTCACAGTCAGTCGATGTATCGATTTCTACTATACATAGCAGAAGTGAATGAAAAAAAATTTGTTTTTATTCACTCCTGTCTATAGGAAATCGTGTATTTCTAATAGATTTAGTGCTAGGTGTGGATAGATGTATGCACGAACCATGTTCATGCTGCAATATATCTTTTTTCCCGGACACGTCTGGTAATGATAAAAAAGTCTGCATGGAAGGATCTGCAGCTCTCTCAGCCCATTTACCCTGGCATTTCGTCTGCCATCTCCTAGGCACATTTTCTCATAGAAGGCTAGTTCCACGATCTCTTCTGATGTATGCCCCACCTATCCCACTGTATAATTAAATACCTTGGAAAATTCTTTATCATCAGAATTTTACAATGGCTGGTAACATATTTAAAGAAGGTAAGTAATGTACATTATTTCATCCTTAGGTGTTCAGATTGAGTGGCAACGTTAGTTCATGTCACAATATATGTTAAGCAGATTCTGTACTGGGAGGGTTAGGTGTATTGTGCATAGGTATAAATAGTGGGGGTCAGTAGCCAGTAGCGGGGATACAGGCTGGCAGAGGCTATACCGGGCTATTGATCGTAAATGCGTTTGGCATCTCAGTATTTCGTTTATGTGTTGTTTGTTGTTACAATCCGACGTTACAAGGTTTTTTCAGAGACTTGTACTCATGAGCAGGCTTTATTACATCGTTCCCAGGGCTTCATCCAGAAATCCCGATGGGAAACAATGGACGAGAGCAACCTTGGTGAGTTCTTAAACATAGTCATGTACATTTTACATTTTATTTCATTATAGGCTGGCTATTCACTTGAAAAAAAGTTTGTGCATTGATGCATAATTTTTATTGTAATACCAACTTGGACCTATTCTAAAGTCTATTATATCGTATACTGACCCATTAGTTTCAGTGTTGTGTCATTAAAAATTGCTGTTGATGCATTTCATTAGCAATGTTTACTAGAGTGGTTTGCAATGTCCTCTCCAAATCGATCTAATGCAGCTGCTGACTTACAAGTGAATAGTTATTAGGTTAGACTAATCAGTGTTGAGCCCAAATTGTGGTAACACGAATTGGATGTTGGTGGCTGCAGTAACAGGCAGCATATTTCTGCCATCACGGTGTCTCAAGATTGATCCCCGGGCGACGTGCGCTTGGTTTGGTGCCTGGACGTGATGCGGCCATGATGACAAGGTGCGCCGAGGATTGACACTTTGTGTCTTCCAATCACAGTCTACGCCGCACCAGTCTTTGATATTTTTAAAGATGGTGACTCATTGGACCACCAAATCGCCGATCTCAGGAACTAGGGCATTCTGCTACGCTAGAACTGTTTCCTACGATAGAGTTTGCCACAAATATGAAAATAACACGCTGTTTAGCGCACTGCGCTACGTCCTTCTGTCGCATTTTCGCATCTCCGTAATCAGAATAAGCCCCGCCTTCTTCGTTGATGGGCATGAATCACCGACGTGACCAGACGTCACCGACGTGATCAGTTACTGTACCTACTACCGCCAGCCTGTTTACTTTTTGTAAATAATGAAATGCCCGGCCGATGCATTTCGCATCGAACTGGAAAAATTCAGCATTTTTACTCGCTTTCGGAAGTGAACGAGTACGTCATTCATTGAACATTGAAGTTTTTCTTAAAATTAAATAATTCCGGAAATCCCTAACCGCGCTACTCGTTTGTTTTAGCCAATGAACGTAGCTGTGTGTGTGACAGATTGCCCGCGCGCTTTATGCTTGGCTTAGCGGGCCTCGAAATGGATATCGGAGGCAGGCACCTCGCAACACGCGTGTTTGTTTACATATAGCTTTGTGACGTTAGGATGGGCGGTGTTCGGGAGTTCTGCGATGATAACCTCAGAATTTCTCAGAATTTCTTAAGGTGCATGGAACATTTTACCAATTTAGTGGTGTCAGTTAGTCACGGATATGTCACAGTAAGTACTAACCATATATGTTTCACATACGTTCACCTATTTTGCACACAAGCAGTCGATCATTGTGAAAAATTGTGTGAATATTTATTTTTATTGAGACGTTCCAAGTGCCTGTGCTTTCAACAGTCTTGTACGTCAATGCACGTGCGTCAAGAGCCACAAACTCGACACTATTTCATCTCTGTTATTGTTTACGCCTGAATGCGTGATTGATGAGGGAAGGGGTGTATGTAAGAGGGAGACATTTTCTTTGGGGTTCCGAAAAACACAATTCCACTTGACAATTTCATGGGGCATTTCAATTGGAAGCTCTGCATAATGGACTCCCAACAAGCCCTTTGACTGACTAGTCAAGAAATTCAAAGGTCTGTATATTGCTCTTATTTAGTCGCGGATAGTTCTTATTTAGAACAAAGTCTTCATTGTTATCTTCTAAAACTACAGACCATCCGCTGACCGCTGTGGAGACGTGCGCCGGGCCTCGAATTTGGCGCACGTCTCCACTGCGGACAGCGCTTCATACTTGAACCTTCATATCCTGCGGAACTGTCATCCACGCGAAGCACTCAGGATCAACAGCAAAGCTGTGCCACGCAATCTTGTATCATGTCTCTCTGGATGCAATGCTTGATTGTCATACGAAACAACATGGAGTGGGGATATGGTGAGATAACTGCATTTCATAAAAACATGACAACATGGCAGATTTGTGTGCCCGCGCATGTGCGTGCGTGCGCGAGTACGTGTGTATGTGCATGTGAGTGTTCAGATTTGTGTGGTACATACGTCCGCGACTGAGTGCGCCCGTGTGTCTGTGTGTATCATGTATGTGTGAGTACAGGCATACATGCATGTGGAAAAGTGAGAATTTCATTTCATGTGTGAGGGAGAGTGATAACTGTAGGCGTGTGTGTGTTCTGTGTAGAAGTGTGTGTATGCGTGCAGACGTGTTTCCCTACAAATTTGCAGTTGCGCGTGTACATGTTTCAGTGCATATCTGTATGTCTTTAGTTTATATAGTTGGTTATACATCCAGTTAAATTGTGAAACCCAGGTAGTGTGTAGATATACAAAGAGTGTCTGAACTGATGACTGTTCTCGGTGCCTCTGCTTTAGAAGTGAAGTATGGGATAGGTGAAGTGTGAGTTATACGGTTATTATATAACATCAGCAATGAATACAGAAATTCCTTGATTCATTTCTGATATTATTCACTAGTAGATAGAGAGTGTGAGATGCATAAGAACGTAGTGAGAAATGGATGGACGTCAGGCCCCTAGAGAAAGGGGGTGCGATGGGTGCGCCCCCCCCCCAGGCTGTGGAGGTCCACTTTTTCGTGGTCCAACGATTTAAAAGAAACTGAATTAATAAAAAAAATAATAGCATTGTTTGTGTTCTAATTCGCTGATTGTGTAGTAAAAATGAAATAAATAAGCAAAGAAAAAATATTCCATGTTTGATTAGCAGCCGGCGACGGAGTCTGTTTGCCAAAAAAATCCATTTTGAAGTTAAAGAATTGGAGAAATTAGCGTTTGGGGTTTTGATGTTTGCTTTTGGCTGCCTTTTTCATATCATACTGCCTTCAAAACGCGCGAAATGCAGTCTCAGACAAACTAATTTTCAAAATCTCCCCGGGGGGCATGCCCCTGAACCCCCCTAGAGACTGGCACTTCAGGCGCTCGTCAAGTCCGTATACTCGTTGGATCGCACCCTCCCGTAAAAAACCTGCCTACGGGCCTGGACGTGGTGCAAAATGAACCAAGATGAATATCCTGGAGAAATCAGAGAGGAAGACAATACAACGCATAGGCTGCGGAGCGTGCATTTGTGGTGTTTTTAAAGCAATAAGAAAGGATAAAATGCGTAGTGTCAACAAAGGTGCAGTATATATACCCATGAACTACATACTGGTGCAGTATGCAGTCAGTTATATTCGCTGCTAGTACCTTTCCACAACTATCTCTAAAAAAAGTCAATTATGAATGAAAAGCCATTTTCGTTCATGATAAATTCAAGTTCATTTACTGTGGAGTCGTTATCAACATCAGTAAATCAGCAAACGACCGTCGTCTCCAAGTCCTGGATGAACCGATGCAGATTTCAATCATGAAACTTCCAAATTGCATTTACTGTAATATTTTCCTATACCGTGTTTTAATAAAGTTAGGTGGTTGTAGTTCCGTACTTGGACTTCTGTTTTTATATATGGTTTTGGTTCATATCTTCTTCTAAATCCTATATGTTGGATTAACGCGCCTACATTTGATGACAACTGGAGTGCGTTTTGTAGCCGTACATATCCGCAGCAATAAATGATTTCGTTCTAAACCGAGTGCGAGAAGTCGTGCATCATTTTCCCAGACGCTTCAATCGAGGTCAGATCACGTACCATGATTTCGATTTAAATGGCCGACGGATGCTGGAGCTCTTTGGTGTTCACCACTCTCATGTACAATGGAAATCGAAATGAATAAATCATCATTTTGACGTTCTCGCTGTGCCTTCGCCCGCTCTCATCTAACGCATGTTATTCGACGACCTGTTTTGCAGATCGACTTGACGGGTTGATAGCCGCACACAAGCACAGGAAGCCAACTCTGGATGAGTTCCTGCAGCTTCCTGATGATTACGAGTGTCGTGAGTCGCAGCCCGGCCAGAAGAGGGTAAGCCCAGTGTAGCTGGTGACAGCTTCCTGTACTATATACGCCATATTTTTCGCGTACAGATATTTTCGCGAATTCAGACTTGACAGACAATTTCTCGAGTGGTTAATTTCGCGGTCGGTGAAATATGAATTATTCGGTATGAATCATTGGCATGTCATTATTTTCGCGGTCGGGGACGCGTTCGCGAAAATTAAACCACTGCGAAATATACAGTGTATACAGTATTTTCTGTCGCTAAATACAGATCGCGATCGTGCGTATTGCGCTGCCACACTGGTGACGTAGATATAACTCATACAGGTGAGTTGACAGAGCAACTCAGCTTGTTGACCGTTGACAGAGTATTTAACCAGCCACAAAAACGATGTTTATTGACTGCGACGTTTAATCACCAACTTCGATATGGGTGCATGTGAACACTCATCAACCAGCAACCGATATAGATATGGATTGTAGAGGGACATCAGCCCACATAGATAAAGATTCATAGGTGCATGTGCATTAATTGATGCGATTGATGTGATTGATGCAATTGATGCGATTGATGTGATTGATTGATTGTTTGTGATTGTTGCGTGGATTGATGTATGTGATTTACGTGCAGTTTATGTCCCTGCTTTCTTCTTTTACCACACTGATGTTATTAAATCGTAATGCAGGTGCGCTGGGCAGATATCGAGGAGAGGAAAGCCCAGCAGAGGCAGCGTGACCTTGGCTTCATCGTCGGGCAGACAGACTGGAGTCGAATGACAGGTGATGACTCCCATGCCATGAACGCACTGAACCAAACCAAGTACTTCTGAAAGTGTCACACGGAGGCCTAGCCACGCCGTACATCTGTAGCCTATCAGTGAATTTTTCTTGAACGATAGCAACAGTGTTATTGTAGTCGGGTCTCAATTGTATCGTCATTGTAACAATTGTTGTAGAAGCTGTGAATGTTCGTACACTCTATATTTATCTACTATCTCTAGAATATACGTACTAGCTAGTAATGTCTGTTCCCATTGTATTACATGATATATTCACAATTATCTGGTTGTGGAGGGCGATAGAGCCAAGGAAAGGGTTTCTGAAAAACACCACACAGTTGTACAATAAGATTAGACATTAACAATTAAGTATTACCCTGGCAAATTATGATCACTGGACAATAGCAAATGATTCTGTGCATAAGAATACACAGGAAAAGACGCGTCCATATGCAATAAAAAACGAAAGTAATTAGAGCAATGATTTCCTTCAGTTTCTGCAGTTAATTTGAACTGAGTGATTTGTTAATTGTCTTAAAACCAATTTATCTTCTAAAGCATGTTGCATTTCCATTTTAAATGGAATGCATACAACAGCTGTACTTATAGAGCATGTGACAATATTAATAGTGAAGCTTCCTTTTATTATAGATTATTGAGGTTTGATTTAGTATGAATTGTGTCACATGCTTGTGCACTCTTGTATGGTGAAGTGTGTGTGAAATTATGCACATTTTATTTCACACCAGTTCATCAATGAAAATGTATATTCTATTTGATCATGCTTATTAGAACCGCAATTTAAAGTGGATAATTCTTGTTTAGCTGTCTTACCTGTGAGCATTTTTAATAACAGCTGTTAGCTTGTTTAATCTTATAAAAGTATTGTTAACAAATGTTAATGTTTCCCTATCTGGAATGGCACAATTTTAATGTTGTTACCACACTAGTCCTTGCTCAGGACTAGAAATTTGTTTAAAAAAACGTTGTGAAAACAGGATCACAAGTGACTTTCGCAAGGACTTAAATCAAAACATTTCGTCACCGAGAACTGTCTGCTTTAAATAAAAAGAACCATTGCTTTTGTGAACAGCTTTACACATATAGATAGACCTGGTAGGGATCCTATTATACTTATATGTGGTTAGTAATATCTGGTTTGCCAAGGCAAAAAAAGTTGTCAAACATAAGGTAAAATTCAAGTCTGTGTCATTGTATGTATGTTTACATGTATGAAATAAAAAATACCATATTGGAATTTCTATATGTAGATCGTTAGGGGTCTCCCACTGTCATTGCAGCGTTTGGTCAGAGCTATCACAAACAACATCTGGTTTGTGGACAATAACATCTAGAAGGCTAAAAAATTCAAATTAAATAAATTAAATCTAAACAAGTGCCGCAGAGCGACAGCGCTCACCTGACAGCAGGTGTTCTGATGCTAAACTTGCTGGCAAACGAATGAAGAGCACCCTCCTGTTGCCACGTTCGCTCTCCCTCATTGTCTCTCTTTCGCTCTCTCGCTCCTGCTCTCTCTTCCATTCGCGCTCTCTCACTCGATCATACTCGCTCTCTCTCCCCGTCTCTCTCTCGCTCGCTCACACTCACTCTCCCTCGTTGTCTCTCTCTTTCTTTGTCTTTGTCTTTCTCTCTCACTCTTTCGCGCGCTCTCTCTCTCTCCCTATCACTCTATCACTCTCTCTTCCTCTCTGCCCCCCCCCGTTCCTCTCTCTCGCGCTCTCTCTCTCGCACGTGCTCTCTCTCTCTCTCTCCTCTCTCTCGCGCTCTCTCTCTCTCTCACTCTCTTCCGCTCGCGCTCTCTCTCCTTCTCCTCCGATTTCTCTCTTCTCGAGGCGGTAGCGCTGGCCGGACGAGGCTGTGCGACTGAATTGTCTATACAGATGTCTGACATTGTCTGATGGTCTTCTAACCCCTAGCAAGGCGTAACGTTTTTTATATAACTTCACATAATGTTATAGCTAGTATGTTAATGTCGGGTGCACTCCGGCCAGCCATGTTATACTATGTAACTCGGTTTGCCAGCAGCGGCCAGCGATGGTAGAAAATTATTAAAAATTGCTATAAAAAGCTGGTTGTCCTGCGGACAAGCCTTAGCCCGGACAGATCTAATTGTCCCTGGGAATGGACAAGTAGGCGGACAAACGGATAGCCCTGTATTTAGAACACCGGGAATGGTATCAGAACCTGTTCTCGGAAGAATTGTTCGGTGGGTGTCGTTATGAAAGTTGCCACGAGATTGCGCGTACGTTTGAGTGTCTTAAGAGTTAACGATCGGAAGCTCCCAGTCGTACGTAGTATAGACCGAACAACTATTTGCCAAGCACAGAATAGGTAGCACGTCATTCCATTTACATACCAAGCCTACAAGGCTGAAATAGAGAGCTGCCACGCTGTAACTAATTAACGCAGGCAAAAATACACCGTACTGATCACGACCACATGCACTGGCCGTGGCTACAGTGTTACAGTGTATAAACACACTGACCACAGGTACAAGAATGCCTAGAAATTATACGATTTAAGGAAGGCATAAACCTTCTCAAGCAAAATTTAGCATTTGAAATTTCACTGTGACATTGTAGCCTATACATCCAGCATGTCATAGATCTATAGCAAACCGGCAGCTCCAAATTCTTTCCTAACAGTAAAAATCCATGCTTTTACCCTCTGAGTGCGTGCAAAAGGTTATCCCACACTTACTCTTCGCATGTCAGCAGAAAGTAAAATAAAAACTAAAAATATAACTAGTCGACAATAGCATAAATTAGTGCTTATTAAATTCAGTTTATTTACAAAGAGAGAAACTGTTTTCCAATATTCAGAAAAAGGATGGTCAATTTTGACATGATTGTTGACACAATTTTGACACTCCACTCGTAATGAAATAAATGTAATAATAAACTAGTTTCTTATCACGAAAAACTGTATGGTCGAGTGCTGTGTTCACACACCATCTTGATGTTACAGAACCTACATAAATATAATTACTGTATAACTACATTATAATCTATCTACTAACTCTTCAGGTAAACTTATTGGATAACACACAATCTGATATTTAATATTAAAGACAATGGATTAACTAAGGGTTGGGTAGAACCTACTGAACAATAGTATAAACAAAAAATTGCATGCAAAAAAGCCCTGCTCCAGCCTCCTAGTATGTGCTTAAAGATTTACGCGCCCCAGACGGCTGAACACTCCACCACTTTTTCCACTGGCGCCTCCGCGTCCCCCTCGCGCTCCCCTTCCACCACCTCCTCCTCCTCTGCGTACACTGATGCTCGCACTTCTTGTTGTGGCAATCTTGCGCCCCCCTGTGGTTGATGAGATCAAGAGATTGCTAGTGCTGGCCCTGGTCACAGGTGCTCTACTCAACACTGATGCAGACACTGGCTTCGTGATGATGACCTTTGTATTCTTGCTGGCGGGTGTAGGGAGGGTGCCACTGCCGAGGCGTTGCATAACACTCGGCTTCGTTCTTGCTTTGCCGGCTAAAATTCCAGCGCTTTCTACTCCAATTGTTGTGTCAGCAGCATTCTTCAACACTGTCAAGCAAAGTAGCATGCATGTACAAGGTGCAAGGATATTGTGGAAGAACCATTTACTTGGTGCCGACTTTTGATGGCTGGCATTTCAGATGCGAATTTTCTGTCTTTAAAGGTGGAGTGTCCCTGATGGAACATACAACCTACCATTCTGCACCACCAAGTGTAGTTAGACATATTACCGTTTGTTTTTATGCAGGGAAAAAGAAGAGCACTACCAGCTGGTGTGATCGCTGGAAATTGGATCGAATTGGGTGAATAGTAAATGTGCCGAGCAGTTTTTTGGTGCAGTGCCATGCAATCCTGATTCACCAGCAGAAATCATGCAAATTCCAACGCATGCCACTACTCTCATGTAAACAAACCTTACCTATTGTGGAGCTGGCCTTTGAGATGACGAACTTTCCTGCCGGTCTGGGTGTTGGCTTAGCAGGCGGGGTCACTCGAGGCTTGGGCGTTTTCAGTACGCCGGCATATTCGACCACGTCATCATCATCCTCCACCTCCATCTCCTCAACCACGTCCTCATCACAGGAGGTTGATGTGGCTGCCTGTATCTTCGCTCCTGGCCCAAGACGGGCGAAGACAGATCTCTAGGAGGGCATAGTTTTTGCTAATCACGGATGTTCAGTATTTAGACAATCATGCAATTATAAGTTACTGCCCATATGTTAAACCAGGAGGCTTTAGCGAATTAAATAGTTTTATTATTGATGTAGAGAGGGACCATTCCTATTCCTGCCTGTGCATTACTGTCAAAAATATTACTTACCGCATTAGTAGACTGAGTAGATTCCTTTGGGACAGTGATAGTTATCTTTGGACCACTTGAACTGCTCACTTCGCTGCTAGCACCAAGTCTATCAAATACAGACTTCGTAGCTGAAAAATACAGCAATCATTTCATTGTATAGAAATATGATCCACATGAAGTTCCTTCATGAAGTTGATAATTTTTAATGAGAAATGCAATTGTAACAAATGTGACTACACGGTACGGGGAAACCTGCAGTACCCTACTATATATAGTTATTATGATTTTATTTAATTCAAGCTACGTTTTTGGGAAGCAGTGACCAAAGGTTTAGTTTTCAGAATTTCTAGCTGAAGAGTTTAGAGTTTGATTCTGACCTCTGCTACTGCTATCTACTACCAAGGTACCCGATTTGCTTGAATAATTTCACTCGCCCCGTCCCGCACGCGATTAGCTTATTTGAATGCAGCCGTTACAATGAACCAAAGCCACATAGATGCCAACGCCCCATGCTCCACGAACATCCAAAAAGGGAAAAACGTTTTCATGTGAGATGGTCAGAATGTAGAATATCTCTCCCCCACCTCCATCCACCTAGCACCATTACCATTCCTTCACCTTTTTTCTTCTGCATGGCAAGTATTTTCTTGGTTTTTGCAGTTGTTCCCTCTGGCATCTTCACCTTGTAACCACCTTCATGTTCTGGAAGTACCCTCCTCTTCTTCTGGACAGGAACCTCTTCCTTTTGCTTGGCAGCTACAGTTTTGGTAGTGACAACCGTCTTTCTCTTCCCTATACAAACACCACGAAACTATAAAAGTGGTGGGAAAAAATTGACCATTCACAAAATTCAATAATAGATTTGTTTCATTTGGTATTTACGTTTGTCTACGCACCAAGGACGCAGCGTATCAAACTGTATTCTATCAAACTGAATGATACGACTAATATCATTATACCTAAGCATTATTACCTAGCCTTCCAGAAACAGAAGGTGATGGCTTGGCCACCAAAGTTTGCTGTGCATTCCCAAGTCTGGCTGCAAGTGCTCTTGAAAGACCTGACGTTGTCGTCTCTTTGCTGATGGCACTTAACATGGGCGAGTTCATGGGCCCCATATCATATGACCTTGGCAAATAACGAGCCACAGTTCTGCTTGTAGCTACAAAAGGTGCATGAATACTGACTTAATACTTGATGCTAATCTATGTCATTCTAAATAGACGAAAGAGTATTGTATGTGGGTGACTATTTCAAATGGTTAGCCTTTTACGTATGTGGGGCTTTGCTATGGCAGTCATTTTTGCTTTTCTGCAGTCAATTTCAAATAATCCGAATCTTAATCCCATATTATATATGTGTATTCTACACATTCTATATTTGCAGATATAGTTCTCATGACTTGATTAGCACAGTAGAGCTACAAAGAAAGTGTAAAGCTAAAAAATCATTTTTTTTGTAATATAAGACCACGATTTATAATCCATTAGGGTTGGAAATTGCAAGACATTTCACAGACAAAACGTAAACATTCAGTTTTAACTTATATGTTATAGGGCCAAAAACCCAAAACATTCTGTTTTACTACTGAGCGCTGGGTTGACATATTATGAGTGTTCCTCACATAGGACCATCTTAATTAACAATTATAATCGTGGACCAGCACTGATATGTACGTACGTGTATCTCGTTTTGGTGTACTACTACCACTGACACTGCCAGCACTGTCCCCGCCTGAGTACACCTTCTCCCTCTCTTCCTGTAAGTGATAGACAACACATTACATTACTATCATAATCCAGTGCCACAAATGCATTTCTCTGTAACACGCTTAGCAAGAAACAAAACTACAAGTGCCGCAGAGCGACAGCGCTCATCTAACGTCTACTGCGGTGACTCTGTGGTGGAGTGGTGGGATTCTAGTAAACCCTGTTAGTCCCAAATGTGTTCACATACACGCCGAAACATTGGAATGCACAGGGATGGTATCAGGAACCTTCTCAAAAGAATGTTCGTTGGGATCGTTATGAAAGTTGCCACGAGATGGCGCGTACGTTTAAGTGTCTTCAGATTAAAGATGGAAGCTCCCATCATACGTAGTAGCAACAACTATTTGCAAGACAGAATAGGTAAGCACTCATCCATTTACCTACGCAAGCCTACAGGCTGCAAATTGCAATAGAGAGCTGCCACCTGTAACCAATTAACGCAGGCAAAAACTGCACCAACACATGCACTGGCAGCAGCCACTGGCAGTGGCATACGTTACATGTAACATACTGACAGTACAGAATGACATAGAAATTATACGATTTAAGGAACATACACCTTCTTTAACCAAATTTAGCTTTTGAAATTTCACTGTGACATTGTAGCCTCATACATCCAGGCATGTATAGATTCTACTAGCAAACCCGGCAGTCAAATTCTTTCTAACAGACAGTCAACAAATCCAAGTTTAACCCTCCTCTTGAGGGTCAAAAGGTTATGCGACACTTACTCTTCGCATGTCAGCAGAAGGGACATTTCATGGTCCTTTCAATAAAGCCATAAAAATGCTAGGTCACCGCTGAAACAAAAAAGTTTTTCAATCGCTCCGTCAGACCATGTCCTCAGAAAATGTCTAAAATCTGCCCTGTGCCCACTGACCTTTGACCTGTGACCTCCAATTTCGGCACAGTGATGGCTTTTCCTACCATGATGCTATACACCGACTATCACGAGCCTAGGTCGAGCCGTTTAGATTTGTGCCGCAATTCTGCATTTCCTCCCTATACCTTAAGTTAAGGAGTGAATGTTCCCCCTTCTTTTACACCTCTTGACCTTTGACCTTTGACCCCCAGCTTCGACATCCCAACTCGTTTTCGGATTACCCCCCCACGTCCCGAATATCGTGACCGTACGTCGAGCGGTTAAGATTTGTGCCCAACTGTTGACGCCCGGACGCACGGACGCACGGACGATCATGCGATTCTACAAGCTGCATCTGACTATGTCAGATGAGCTAATAACGACATACCTGAGTGTAAACATCTTTGGCGTATTTCAGTATGGCTATGATGTCACCAAGAGCTTGAATACCCATATCACTCAGAATTTCCTTTGATAAATCAGACAGCATGTTTCGCTGTATCCTATGATCTAAATGTAAAATTCATACACATAGTAATGGTATACTGATATATGTACATACCTATATCAATACAATCATGTGTACATTCATACATGCATTGTACACAGTATGACTATTACAACATCAAAAGAGACCCTGTAAAGAAAGAGAAAGAGAGATGGGGAGAAATAATGAGAAAAAGAGGGGCGAGGACGAGCGGGGGTGTGATGACAAATAAAAACCAATTTTGGCTTGACCACTAACCACTGATACACAAATTAACAACAAACCTGTGAAGAGTATTGCATATTTAGCAGCAATTGTTGGTGGCAAACCAGCATCTTTGAAGAACTTGATCCATTCTGAGGTTAATGCTGACAAAAAAAAGAAAATGTGTTTAGTGACAATACTATATTATATGTGATAACTGCAAATGTAAGGTGGCATACATAGCCTGACTGAATAACCTGGTAAAAAAACATTGGTATACTGGTTCCTTCTACCATCCTACCTCAGTCTTCACGAATGAAATTTCTAAACATTGGACCTTCGGTCCACCAAGCCAGCAAAATTTACTGGACCGGACTAAATTTTACTGGACCGATATTATTTTGACATTTTTGACAATAAAGAACAAAACAGTAATATCATTTTGCATTTTACCTATACTAATACCTTCTACACACTGCTATGATAACAGTAATAATACCTATCAAATATACATCACATATACCTTCTACACACTACAATAAAAGCTGCAAAATAGAACAACAAATCTGCGTTAGTCGTCAGTGAGCATGTATCACACATACCTTCTACAAACTGCTATGATAACAGTAAGGATACTTATCAAACATTTATCACATACCTTCTACAAACTGCTATGATAACAGTAAGGATACTTATCAAAGATTTATCACATACCTTCTACAAACTGCTATGATAACAGTAAGGATGATTATCAAACATTTATCACATACCTTCTACAAACTGCTATGATAACAGTAAGGATACTTATCAAACATTTATCACATACCTTCTACAAACTGCTATGATAACAGTAAGGATACTTATCAAACATTTATCACATACCTTCTACACACTGCTATGATAACAGTAAGGATACTTATCAAACATTTATCACATACCTTCTACACACTGCTATGATAACAGTAAGAATATCTACGTACCTTCCGGCAGTACCTCCGGGGACATAGACCCCCTCAGATAAGTATACCTTAGTCTTAGTAATAATAATAAATTATTAATAATTATTATTAATATTAGTAGTACTAGTAGTAGTATAACTTGGCTTTATTTGGTTAGTACAACCGTTATTCTTGTCGTCTTGGGCCTCTTAACCTCGTAAATAATAGTCTTCAAAGGTCTCAAAGACGAAAAAGAGAGCGCAACACTGCGGATCGCAGTAAAAAGCCTCAATTTGCAATTTACTAACGTTTTTATAAGAAGTTTGTAATAAGATTATATACCAGAAGCTTTCCACTTTGCTTAGACAATGCTTCAATACTAGTATATCGACTCTTCTTTGTCACGTTAAGTCGTTCGCGATCGTTATGTTTCGGTCTTGTTTTGCAAGTAAGATTTTCGACATAGGGTGCGGAATTTTGTTTGTATTCAGAGGGAAGAGACCCGCCACAAGCGGAAGGCTGCCATCTTGTAGATTTCGCAACACCGTTGAGGGGTGGTGGTGTAGTTGTTTGGTTCGTTTGTGATTGACATACACAATGTTCATAATTTACTTATAAATAAGTAAATGTGATGTAGTAGAATAAATTGAGATTCGAAAGTAATAAGGATGTAAAGAGGTGAGAACAGGTGCTATGAGTATAGTAGTGAGGGGTGATGAGTGTCATGATGGAGATAGAAACAAAGTGGCTGGCCCAGGGTGGGTTGGGGTGCGGGGAACCTCCGCCTTTATTTACAGTTTAGTATAGGTAAAGTTATTGAGAAATACGAAATTAGATCGCATGGCGTTCTCCCTGAGGTATGTTTTATTCAATTTTTTGCCTCAAACGTTCCAAGTGATGAAGGCGTTAGAAACGTTAGAACGCAGGGCCGTCGGAAAATTTGCATTTTTCATGTATGGTATCATTTCGATACCAGGCTATTAAAACTCTTTTGCGGTATCCCCCCAAAATCTAGGTATCATTTTTTGCGATAGTAATCCAATGTTGGTATCAAAAAATGCGCAAAATCGTTGAAATACAGCAATACTGAAGCATAGGCTGCAATAGCATTTCAAAATTATATAATATGTAATAGCTTAATTGAATTATATAAAACATGAAACAGGATTTCACACGATATGCCACAAACAAAGTATACTGCAGGACGTGATTGGTCTAGACGGCATTGTCTGTGTTTGCGCTTGATACAATCATCTCCCCACAAATGACCCCTTACACATGCACATTTCATGATCAACGATTAACGCACGATCATTGATCGACAATTGATCACAATATAGCTGCCCCTATAGCTTCCACGCGCTTGCCAAATATGCTCAAACAAACCATCGTATCCGATTTTGACGATTTTTTTTTACTATCGTTCGTCGGGGATACCAAGCATTGCATAATACTGGTATCCAGACACAAGAATCTACTATCCGCGGATTTATCGCGGGGATTAACCGGCGTTAATTTCGACCCCGTAGAACATGAATGGGTCTGTGTGTAATGAATGAGAATCTGACTAATTAAATTAAAAAATAATAGACCAACTATAATATGAGGGTACTATGACCTATCTTACAGACGATACTCGCATTGAACTGAATAGTGAATAAAAGAGAGCTGAGCCCTTGACTTCGAGGTCCGGGTGAGATGTATTGTGTGTTTTGGTTGGGGGGTCTATCAAGTAATTGAAGTATCATCAGCGTAGCGGCGGAGCGCGGGGTGTTAGACATGTGTAAGATCAATACGATCAGTGTTCTCCAAGCCTTTTCAATAGCGATGGCTGGGGGTGCTGCCTTTACTGGGTCCTATGTGTTGCAAATCGCGACAGTCGGTCCGGGCTGTATGGTTTGCGTGCTTAGGCGGCGGGGGGCGGGGTCCGGGGGCTATGCATATTTAAGGCATTGGCGGGCTATTGTATTTAAAGTGGCGGCCGCGTGAATTTATTAGGGATGGCGGGCTCGACGTGCCTGGCGGGCGGCCAGGCTATAAGTACTCTTGGAGAAGCGCCTTGTACATGTGCCGTGCGTGTGACTACATCATTTTTGTGTGTACAATTACATATGATGTGGTATACTGCAAGTCATGCTGCGATACATCATGAGTATGATGTAGGGCGGTAATTGTGGCATTGTAATTTGTCCGTCTTAAATCATTTAATAAGATACAATAAATGTAACCAACAAGAGTAGTGGGGCTCCTGGTGTGTGCCATGGACGATGCTGGCTCTGGTGCACTGTGATGACTGATCAACGCGAGGCATCCCGCGCATGAATGCCATTCGATCTGGGAGGCCGAAGGATGACGGGGGTTCCGCGATCAGCCCCGGCAGCGTTGTCATATCGGCAGTCTTGCCGGACGATGCGGCGGTACGGTGTCTCAAGGCAGGTCTGAAAGGGGCGAAACTGGCCTGGGCCGTGCGTAGTGGTGTGTGATGTGTGTGGGTACCGCTCGTCACTTCGAAAATTTGTGTAACAGGTTATATTGTTTAATATCAGAGTATTGTTGATACAATCAGTAAGTTCCCGAGGATAGCGGAAAAGGCGGGTTCGTGGTCTAGAATAACCCCAGTTTTGGAAGTTGCTGAGTCTCGAAAAAGCGCCCACGCATTAAAAACCGCCCTGAGTGAATCATCAGGGGTCCTCAAAGAAAGAATAGGCCTCCGCGTGTTTTCTTGTAGACCCTATCCTCTTTGTAGGCGGTTTACATTATTGTATCTAATGCATTGCTAGATCATGTAGCCGCAAGCACTTGTGCCGTTTCAATAATAAAGTGATGGTAAATAAACACAAGCTGTATTTGCTACAAAAGTCCTAATGTGTGATATAGTCCTAATATGTTGTTAGATTTCTAAAACTCGCTGTTGTGTTATCTCAAATAGTGAATGCTGATCTATAGAAATTTGTAGCTATACAACTTTAATCTTATGCACTTGACTATCATAATCCTGATTAATTACGCAAAAATTCTAGGGTATGAGTGGTTCCGGCAGACATTCTTATATACATTCATTTCGTAATTGAGTGTTGTCCTGCATTATAAGAAACCTCACATCTGAGATGTGAGGTGTTTATCTATTAAGGTAGCAGTCTTCGACGTTAGGGATGGACCGTGGTCCGAGCCACCAAAAATCGCTACTCAGTCAGTAAATTTAAACAATGTTAAATGGACCGGTCGCGTCCACCAGTTTTTTTCAGCCACTCTAGTTACAGTATTTAGATATAATTTATCAGAATGTATTTGAGGACTATCTTACTGTACACATAAACACTTCCATTTCAACTTTGTATTCAGATTGCTACCAAACGTCAAGTATTCTTTACTTTAGTCATAGCAGGTGTTAGAAGGTAGTGTATGATAAATATTTGATAGGGATCTTACTGTTAATCAATAGCAGTTTGCTAGAAGGTATTGATTTGTATTTGATAGGTATTCT